GGTGATCTGCAAGCCAAGGTAGCTGCGCAGTTCACCCAGGTCTGTGCACGTGTGTCTCTTCTGCAGCTCGGACTTCACGTGGGCGAGTTCCTCAGTGTCAGCAGTGGCAAAGACCAAGTCGTCGACGTACACGAGGATGTAGAACGGCGGCAAAGAGGTGTCGGTGCGCAGAAACAGCGACGGGTCGGCAGTAGAAGGAGCAAACCCAAGAGCCGCAAGTGTAGTCCTCAGTGTGTCGTGCCACTCACGGGGCGCCTGGCGGAGACCGTAGACTGGTCGCCGGAGGCTCCACTGGGTCCCAGGAGGAAACGACCCAGTGAAGCCAGGTGGGCGGCGCAGCCAGATCTCCTCGTGCAGGCTGCCCTGTAGGAAAGCTGTGCTGAAGTCAAGAGAGTGAAGCTCGTAGTCGCGCTGAGCGGCTATGTGCAGCAGCACCCGAAGAGTGATCATCTTCGAGGTGGGATAGAAGGTCTGAAAGTAGTCAACTCCCTGCCGCTGACTGAAGCCTCGAGCCACGTAACGCGCCTTGAAGACAGGCGGAGAACCCGGCGGCCGCTTCACCCTAAAAATCCACATGCCACTGACGATGCTCGCCCCAGGTGGGGGAACCTCGTCGACGTAGGTGCCTGTGGACTTCCAGGAAGCCATCTCTGCGTCCATGGCTGACTGCCACTGAGAGGAGTAGGGACCCTCGATCGCCTCAGCGTACGATCGAGGAGTCGGGATGTCTGGTGCATCCGGGTCTCCCTCAGGGGCAATCAGCGTGGACACGAGATGAGGCAAAGCAGCAGCAAAACACTGGAACTCCTCCTGCCTGTCCTCAAGGACGTCCGTGCTAAGAGCACACTCACCCCCGACGGACGGAGGACAGACAGACTCAGACTCAGCAACGAGACTAGTGGCGTAGTCTAGACGACAGCGAGCAGCAAAGTCGACAAGCTCAGCAACTAAGGCAGACGCAGCAGTGGACTCAAAGGAAGGGTCAGTGACAACAGTGGCCAGGAGACGCGTGACAGTAGGACTGGCAGCACGAAGAGAGTCAGACTCCGGGTCAGCAAGAACAGGAAGAGAGGACTCTGGAGGAGACGGCAACGGGACACGCAGAGGAGCAGTGGAAGGACGCAGTGCCATCTGGTGTGTGCCTGAGACCGCAGGAGGACGCGGACGCGGAGCACGACTACTAGTGCGAGCAGCACGAACAGGCGACGCAGGACGAGACGCAGGCTTACGACGCTCAGCAAGACCTCCAGTGGGACCAGTGTAGGGAGAAGTTGCAGGCAGGGGGGAGGCGGGCTGTAACTGTGACTCGGACTGGACAGGCTGTGGACACTCTAAGGGAGGAGCAGTACCAGTAGAGGGCGGGAGACCAAGAACCTGCTCAAGGAGCGGAACGAAGTACGGCCGCGGCCGCGCAGCGCCTCCAGAACCAGCAGGGACAGCACCAGTACCCCCAGCGGCAGCACCAGCGCCAGCAGCACCTCCAGCTCCAACAGCGCCAACTCCAGCACCCTCAGAAGCACCAGCGCCAGTAGCACCTCCAGCGCCAACACCCCCAGCAGCTCCAGCTCCAGCAGCTCCAGCAGCTCCAGCTCCAGCAGCTCCAGCAGCACCAACTCCAGCAGGACCGCCAGCTCCAGTACCGCCAGCAGCTCCAGCAGTACCTCCAGCAGGACCAACTCCAGCAGCCCCAGCAGCACCCCCAGTCCCAGCAGCTCCAGTACCGCCAGTACGAGCACCTCCAGGACCAGTGGCTCCAGTAACTCCAGTGCCGACCCCAGGGTCAGCAGCAACAGTAGCACCTCCAGCTCCAGCAGCACGGCTCCAGCGCCGGGCAAACCACTCTCGCAGCTCCTGTGGAGAGGGTAGCTCCCGCCTCGACGAAGCACCCGAAGGGCCCCCAAACCCAGCACCGCCAGAGGCCACACGAGTAGACCCAGCACCTCCAGGCTCCGCACCCCCAGGCTCAGCACCCCCAGGCTCCGTACCCCCAGGCTCCGCACCCCCAGGCTCAGCACCCCCAGACTCAGCACCCTCAGGCTCAGCACCCCTAGCAGCACCAGAGTCAACAGCTACCTTGACAGGCTCGACTGCGTCTACCTGGGACACACCTGACGGGGCAGGACCTTGAGGGGGGAGAGGGTCTACCGGGGGGGGACCTGGCGCAAGGAAGAGCGGCGGCGGGGGGAGAGGCGCAGTGCGGTAGGGGAAGAGACGGTAGTAAGGCACCGACTCGTCAAAGGTGACGTCCTGGGAGGACAGAACACGGCGCGAGGTGGGGTGGTAAAACTGCCAACCTGGCGCGTCAGGGGGGAAGCCAAGGAAGACGCAGGGAACAGCACGGGGGGACAGCTTGTCCGCAGACAAGTCGCGGACAAACGCCCGAGATCCCCAGACACGAAACGCAGACGCATCGCCAACCTTCCCCGTCCACCGCAAGGTGGGGGAGGTCTCTAGCAAGGAGACCCGGGGCTGAAGGTTGATCTGATGCGCTGCGTACTGAACCGCAAACGGCCACAGAAAATGGGGAGCAGCCGCATGGATCATGGACGTATGAGCGACGTCCATGACCATGCCAATGCGGCGCTCAGCAATCCCATTTTGCTGTGGAGAGGCCGGAAGCGTGAAGGCCACTTGGATGCCCTGTGCACGACAGAAGGCTCCCAGAAGGGCAGAGGAAAACTCCCCGCCTCTGTCAGAGTGCAGACGCAGAACAGGAAAGTCCGAGCCGAAACTCTCTCTGAGCTGGAGACGAGCTGCACAGATCCAGTCGATCAACACCTCAGTGACGTCACCCTTGCTGCGCAAGGGGAACACCGTGGTGTAACACGAGTAGTCGTCAACCACCAACAGGAAGTAACGCTCGTGACCCTGGCCACGGACGCAGGCGGGGCCCCACACGTCCATGTGAAGAGTCTGCAGCGGAGCCTCTGTCGGAGGAAACTCGGAGGAGTGAGGGGCGGCGCGCCTCTCGATGCAGGGAACGCAGGTAGGGGCAGGCCCCGGAGGGAGGGGAGGGAGGGACTGTGGGAGACCAGAGACAAGGACACGGGAGGCCATGCCTCGGAGACGAGGCAGGGAGGGGTGACCAAGGCGGTGGTGCCAGAGGAGAGTCTGGTGGGACAGGAGACGACACGAGCAGGGAGCAGACTCAGGACCAGACCTGGACGCTGCAGCAAACACCTGACCCGACGCAGCTACCTGACCAGACTCAGCAACCGGAGGAGACTCGGTAGTCAGTGTGTATAGGCTCGACCCCGGCTGACGGGTAAACGTGGCCAAGTGTCGGCCCGTCCGAGCACACGTACAGTGGGTCACCCGCTGATTCGCAGGAGTGAACTGGTCAACCCCCCCATCCTGTAGATCAGCACCACTCACCAAGTTCGTAGAGAACGAGGGGAGGTAGAGACCTGACAGGGTGCCAGAGGGGGCCGCCGAACACGGTAAGACAGTGGAGAAGTGGGCAAGGACAGGACCCCCAGAGGGGTCTGCCAGGGAGACCGCAACTGGCCGACTAAGCGGCGTAAGCGTGGTGCGGTCTCGAAAGAAGGAGCGGGAAGCACCCGAGTCAAGGGTGAAGGTGTGTAAGGCCTGAGCCGACGTGGTACCTGAGAGAGCAGACGCACCAGTGCCTGGGGCAGCAGACTCACCAGCACCTGGAGCAGCAGACGCACTAGCACCTAGTGCAGCAGCCTCACCAGCACCTAGAGCAGCGGTCTCAATGCCCGGGTCAGGCGGAACACACAGGTAACAGTCACCCTCATCACTAGTAGGCAATGTATACATGGCAGTGAGGATAGCATCATAGTCAAGAGTATAGATATCTACCCTCAGCCTAAGCAGCTCCACCCAGTCGGGGAGCTCAGCCGCGTCGCCAAACTCCGTACGCCAGGCGTCGCTCAGACGGGCGAAGCAGCGGGACTCTGCGTGACCAAACGTCCCGCAAGGCTGACCAGTCCGAGCACCAGTGCGAATGACGTACGGACAGCGAGCAGTACCCCGTGACCCGTCACGCTGAGCGTACCACTCACAAAGTTCTGGGGCGAAAGGACCGCGGACGGACGACGCTGCAGCTGCACCTGGCCACGACAAGCAGCGGCCGAACTACTCACTCCTGGACGACTCCCACTACGGCCACCCCGACAACCCCAAGTAGCGTACCACCCACGAAGCTGCTGGGGCGTGAGGGACTCACGCGGACGTCGCTGGAGCTGCATCTGGACGTCGCTGGCATGGATTGTAGCTCACCGCGCAAGTGTTTCGCTCTCGCCTTTTTGCCCCTGCTTGTCCCAGGTACGAGCTCAATTGCCTCGGAAAAGCCGGCAGGATGGCCCTGACCCGCACTGCGAGTCTTCGCGCCGCCAGGACGGCGTCGAAGCCGGACTATCTGATTTTCGGGACGGCCTTCGAAGCCCTCGCCATCCCCTTGTGCACCGCGTGAGTGTTCCGCGCCCGTGAGATTTGATCCTTGCCGACCGCGTTGCTTGTTGTTCCCGGACAGAACCCTGAATGTCTTCGTCATGCCTCTTGTGTGTGAAGGGGCGGACCTCTTCCCGGCAGGCACTGCAGCGTCCTGCTTGTTGTGCGCCCTGGCGACCTGCTTTTGCACAACGAGGAGCAGCTCGGGACATTCTACCGCCACCTCGACCCCAAGACCTCCTCCAAGCTGCACAAGGAGGAGGCCGCCCACGTTTTGAGGTGGGACAACGTCGCCGGCTAGTCGCGCTGCTCCCTGACGGCGATTATGCCGCCGTGTCTGATGGCTCTTTTCCGTCTCGAAGCGCAAGTTTTTTGGCGAATCCGTGAAGGCGGAGTTGAACCGTGAGGGAAGAAAGTGGAGGGATAAGGCTCCTTCCGCCGAAGTCCTCTCGGCACGTCTGAAGAGTCTTGCCGCCCCCATCCGTGATGTGAGTTTCCGACGTCGATGTCGCCTTGTCGCTTGTGTTATCGTTGTTGAGCCGTCGACTCACCCTTATCGTCGTCGCCATGTGCTTCGGATTTTGATGCAGAAATTGCCCGACATCCTCAGGCAGGAGGTCGCCGGCACGGGGCTGCTGGTGGTCAACGCGTTCGCGTGGTCGTTGGACCATCTAGACGACGTGCATCGCAGCTACGATCCGCTCATCGTCGAGAACCCGAAGCTGGTCGGCGTGAAGGCGCTCCGACTGGAGCTCCTTCACCATGTGGAGAAGGCCGCTCTGAACACATGGGAGGTGGCGTCGACCGTGGGTCGTGGCGTCGGAACCGGCATCGCTCTGGGTGGGGGAGGCCGAGGAGGCTGCAGCGGGGTCGCACTCTGGCGGGCATGGACCCACAGATGGCGGCGAGGAGGAGCACGAGAGGGAGGACGAGGAGGGGGGCAGGGAGCAAGACGGTGACTTGGACGAGGAGGAGGAGGACGAGGAGCGTGAGGACGACAACATGATGGTCACCGGCGAAGAGGAGGCAGTACAATTCGCCGGTGAGAAGGTTGTGGATAAGAGCGGTGGCAGCGGACCCAAGTCGGGCAAGAAGTGTCAGAATAATATATAATTCTATATATTGTTCTATAACTGCCTGTAGTGTAGAATACTGTAGTCATATAACTTTCTGTTTGGTGGTGCACCTTTCATCATCCTTGCCTATTTGTACTGCTCGCTCTATAGTGAACAACCTCTTTTGTTGGTCAACTTTCTCCTCTCTACACTCTCGTTAACCCCCTTCCTAGCACCTAAGGTTTCCATGCCTCCTAGGTTCTAGAACTGTTTTAACAAGAAGGCGCGGGGCAGCGGTGGATCGACCACGACTAGGATGGCGTCTAATTGACCGCTATTGACCGTCTGAAGGCGGCGGAGAGGGAGAACAAGAGGCTAGAGTTCCAGACGGCCCGGATAGACACGCTATTCGGCGTGGTCGCCTCGGCCGTGAACAAGCTCACGACGGTCGCCGACAGCGTGACCTCTCACGAGCAGACGTCGGGGAGGAGCCTCCAAATGGCGGTGGACGCTATGAGGGAGGTCGTGTAGGAGGCGGTGAACTGCCGTGGTTCCACCCTAGAATTCATGAACGAGAAGTGGCTGCCCACCGTACAGGCCGTGCACTTGACGGCTTCTGCTGCTTAGGGTAGGCGACGGGAAGACGATGTCATGCTGTTGTGAGGTGTGGCGATGCTCTGGGCGAGAAGATCAAAACCGTCGTGTTTGCTGAGGTGAAGGCCGCCATGGAGATCGAGGCGCAGGGGATCGCCGCTGCCGTGATTGCGAAAGTCGTCCAAGTGCTTAGGGACGACCTGGTGAAGGCGGTCATCTCCACGACCCAACAGGGCCTTGGTACCGCCGGGTTTAGCCTCCTCCCAACTGCTCTCGCGTTGGGGAAAAGGGTCGCTGACGACAAATCCATGACCGGCGACCAGACCAGCGGCACTAAGCGAAGCAGAGGACCTGCGGTGAAACGCGGTGCGGCCGTGGAACCTCCTGCCACTCCGTATGTTCATATCCCCAGCGTCAACGACTTGCTGAAAGAGGGAGTTGGCGCACGACCGAGCGCCGATTTTCGACAGGTCCACAACGTGCTCCAGGATCCAGCTTCGGTGGTCAGGAAGATGGGTGGGCACCCTGTGGGGGACCAGCAGGCACAGGCACCGACTAATCCGCCGATCGCACATGGCACGCCACCGAACCGCGACCAGGTGAATCTGGCCGACGAGCTCCTGGGAGGGTCATCCGTGGTCGGGAAGCAGGGCCGGCAGCCATTGGCGGACCAGCATCCACAGCCCAAGGCCAGTCCGGCGACTGCACAAGGCACTCGACCGAGCGGCGGCACGGCGCAATGGCTGACAAGCTCCTGCACCTCGCAGCGGTAATCGGCCAGCCGCGCGGGGAGCCTGTTGCGGGCCAGCATATTCAACACTCGACGAGTACGGCGACTGTGCGACCGACCGGCATCACAGCGCAGCTGGGCGATGAGCTCCTGCGCCCCGCAGCGGTGGTCGGCCAGCAGGGCGGGCAGGCCGGTGCGGGCCAGCATCTTCACCCGTCGACGAGCACGGCAACTGCACAACCGCGCGACCGAGTGGCGTCACGGCGTTCCTGGTCGACGAGCTCTTTCGCCCAGCAGCGGTGGCCGGACAGCATGTCGAGCAGGCCGGGGCGGGCCAGCATCCCTACACCGCGACGAGTCCGGCGACTGCACAAGACGCGCGACTGGGTGGCGTCACGTCGTTCCTGGTCGACAAGCTCTTGCGCCCAGCAGCGGTGGTCGGACAGCATGTCGAGCAGGCCGGGGCGGGCCAGCATCCCCATATCGGGACGAGTCCGGTGAGTGCCAGGAGCGTACGACCGGGTGGCGTCACGGCACAGCTGGCCGACGAGTCTTTCCGCTTCGAGCAGCAAGCGACAGGCATCCTTGGCAGCGGCGTGGTCGAGGCTGCCACATCAGTGATCGTGTCGGCGACGGCAGCAGCGCTGACCAAAGCGGGTACTGCCCAGGGGACTGTGTCGCTGCCGCCTCCGCCTACCACGGGTACTGCCAGTGCGGCCAGCTTACCCGTTCATGGGGCCATGGTCGGCATGGAACTGATCCCGATCCCTAAGGTTGTTGAGGCTCAGGCGGTCGAGGCTCTAATCGTTTGGAAGCCATCGTGGGATGAGTATCTGAAATGGCTCGAGGATCAGGGTAAGAAAACCTCGAAAATTCCTCCGCCGCCCAGCAACCAGGCGGTCGACCAAGGAGTAGAGGCAGCGAACGTCACGGGGGCGACTGAAGGGCCGAGCGCCACAACGGATGAGACGGCTATTTGGAGAATGGTGGAAGACATCCTCGCCAGTATCGTGATGCCTGACCCCGAAATCGAGGTCATGCGGGAGAAACTACAAGCAGCTGCTCCCACTTTGGGAGTGCAACAGGGTACACCCGCCGCCTCGTCTGCACCTAAGGAGGACCCTAGCCCGACTGGAGCCAAATCCCCCCTGGCCACAACAGGTGAGGTCGGCGACGGGAAGTAAAAGCGCAAGGGCAAGGACAAGGCGAAGGCCGGCTCGGCGAAGGCCGGCTCTTCCAAGGGGACGTCTAAAGCGGCACGCAGTGTCAGAAGGGTTCAGGCGTCCGCGTTGACAAGGAGACGGGGCTGGCCGTGGCGGAGATGAAGTTTGGGAAGAAGAGCCGCTACATTTGCCGATCGATGGATAAGTCGGAGGCCGCCTACTGCATCGCGGTCGCCGTTTCATCGTTCGACGGCTATTTGAGCGACGTGATTCTTGCCGAGTTCGGTGGGGTGAATGAAGATGTGATGGAGCAGTACAAGTTGGATTGGAATGTGGCGCGATTGATTCCGGGCGGCATGTGGACGGTCATGTGGAGCCGAGGCGCAAACGTGCTCCGCGACCGGTAAGCTTGGCGAATGCTCAATTAGGTGCTCGTTTCATTCGGTTATGCGTGGGTCGGTCGGTGACGGTGGGTCGTGCTGCCGTGTTTTGCAGGTTCCAAGAGGTGGTTGCGGGGTGCAACAGGATAACCGCCGTCGGCCGCGCAGCTCTCATGTTGGCTCTTCGTTCGGCGGTGTGGTTCGGCGACCTTTCGGAGTCGACCAAGCCCGAGAAGGCCGCGAAGAATAAGGCGGCATGATCACACGAGTTTCGATGTGTGCGGCCTTCGCACCTGTGGTCGGAGTCGGACGGACGCACTACCCTCAGCCCGCCCTCTTGCGTTTCCCAGTGCCGGAGCTCTCCGCCCTCGCTCCCGCAGTCGCCTCAGCCTCGAAGCCGACCTTCTCGGCCTGCTCCTCCCACAAGTCGCCGAAAATCTTCTTCCCCCATTCAGGGTCGGCGTAACCCACCGAGACAATGCCCCACGCAATGGCCAGCTTCCTGTACTGCGGCTTGTCCAGACCCTTGATGCCGATCGGCTTTTCGTCGGCGGTGGTGGGGACCTTCAAGGGCGTGGTTGCACGGAGGACCACGAGAGCGCCGCTGAAAGTAGAAAGTCCCGCCCGCCCGAGGTGGTCGAGTAGCTTGACCACGGCGGCGGTGTCAGCGTCGTTGTCGCTCTGTTGCAAGAAGTGCACTGTTTCCATGATCTGCTTTGTGAGGATCTAGGATCGAGCTCAGAAAATAGGGTTTGAATTGAATGATTCACCTGGGTACACGTAACCTGCTTCGGTGCTACAACTATAATAAAATATAAGAATGCACCTAACCTAGGAAATCAAGCATATCTATGCATGATAAATTTAACCCAAGCTAGATATAGCACAATAAAGTCCAGGCAAGCTAGCAAAGCCAGCATAAGCCGTCGCACTCTCACACGTCCCCCCCTCAAAGCTGGGTGGCGTGATATACACCCTGCTTGACAAGATAGTCCTTGAAAGCACGGCGTGCGTTGCCCATATCAGCTTCTGCAACCCAACTGTTCTCAGTGGGGTCATATCCCTTCCAGCGTATCAGGAACTCGAGGGTCTTGCCGCCGCGGCGCCGATGAGTGAGAACGCGCTCCACTGCATACTCGGGTTCATCGTGTATGAGAGTAGGTGGTGGTGGCGGTAGCTGCCGTCCCTGGAACTGTTGGTTGGGGTCCTTGTAGGGCTTCAGTAGCTGAACATGGAAAGCATTGTGAAGCTTCCACGTATCTGGTAACCGCAAGCAGAATGTAACTTGTGTCACATGTGCCTCAACGAGAAAAGGACCACAGAAGCGAGGCCGGAGCTTGGATAGGTGAGACAGGTTCAAGTTGCGCGTGTCAAGAAGCACCTGATCTCCGACTGCTACTGAGTGATCACGTCGCTGGCGATCAGCATACTGCTTCTGGGAGTTATGCATTGTGGTGAGACGTCGCTGAGTTTTCTCCCATAGCTGCTGCATGGTGGTGACGAAGTCATGTGCGGCTTGGACGTATGCCAGTATGGTTGGCTGCTGTGGTGTAAGTGGTTCGCGTCCGTAACACAGGAAGAAGGGAGTTTTCCCTGTGGCCGCATGTGATGCGTTGTTGTAAGCGAACTCTAGGGTCGGTAACTGTGTGTCCCAGTGGCTGACGTCGTCTTTGCAAGCTATACGCAGTAAATGTTCAACCATCTGATTGAGTCGCTCTGTCTGTTCGTCAGTCTGTGGGTGGTATGCTGACGACATTGCAAGTTTAGTCCCCAACAATCCCATGAGTTCCCTCCAGAACTTACTCCTGAATTTTGGGTCTCTGTCTAAGATGAGTGTAGCGGGGATGCCGTGGATGGTGATGATGCGGTCGAAGGAGAGGCGAGCAGTTGCTTCAGCTGTAGCTGTGGCGTTCTTCGGTATGAAGTGACCCATTTTAGAGAACTTATCGATCACTACGACGATGGAATCATGTCCCCGTGAGGTTGAAGGAAGTCTAGTGATGAAGTCGAGGCTAACGACCTGCCATGGCTGCTCTGCCACAGCTTTCTTCTGCTTGCTACTCTTCATCCGCTGGCACGTGTCGCGTGAGGTGACGAACTGCTGCACGTCTGCTGCCATCCCGGGCCAGTAGTATTACTTTTCTATCCCTGCTAGCGTCTTGTTGCTCCCGAAATGTCTCGCGTATGGTACGTCGTGAAACTCCTCCAGCAGAATCTGTCGGAGCGGGGCGTAATTCGGTACCCAAATCTTTCCTGAACCCTTCCTTACCGGTAAGTCTTTCTCCCACTGTAACAGCTTCTTAGTCTGTGATGTAGCGATCTCTGCGTCCACGAAGTACCCATGTTAGAATAGACCCTTGAGCAGAGGGTTCATCCTGTCGAGCTGGATGCCTGCTATATGTCCGGGGCGGCTTAACGCATCTGCCTTGTTGTGTAGCCTGGGCTTGTAGACGATTTCGTAGTGGAAGTGAGTTTCCAGGAAGTCCACCCACCGCACCTGTCGTTATGAGAGCGTCGGCTGCGACTTTAGGTATTTGAGACTGCAGTGGTCAGTATAGACTGTAGTCTTGGCTCCCTCTAGGTAACACCTCCACGCCTTGAAGGCTATGGCGATCGCTAAGGCTTCCTTGTCATGAATGGGGTAGGTCAGTTCTGCTTTGTGTAGCTTCTTACTGAGGTAGGCGATGGGCTGCAAATCGCGTCCGTGATCCTGCATCAGTACTGCTCCGACTGCTTGGTCAATAGCGTCTGCTTCCACCACGTAGTTCTTGTCTGGGCCCGGTAGGATGAGTACTGGCATGGGTTGTTGCCCTTCAGCTTCGCTCGTGCCTTCTTCATTTTCCAACACGCCAAGAGTCGATGTCCTGCTGCGCCGCAAAATTCGCAACTCTCATATTTTGTCGACCGCTGCTTCGCGTCGATCTTGTAGATATCCATCGGGTCGGCGGTCGTGGGTGGTGCCAATCGCTTCATGTCGAATGATCTGTTCGGCACTTGGCGTCGTGTCTCGGGCTGATCTCACGTCAGCGCATCGAATCTCTATGCTGCACACACCATGTCGCGGTTGTTGTAGTTCGCGGCAATCTCCTGTCGGCGGACTTCCATCTTTAGCCACGCTTAGTTTTTTCCTCTTCGGTCAGGTCGGTAATTCGGTTGAAGAGGCTCTTCATCTACAACGTGTACTGTGTTACACTGCCGAGCTGTTTATGCCGATGAATCTGCTGCCGCGCCAAGTAGTTGGAGTTGATTGGTTCAAAACGGTGAATTAGAGCTGCCCGAAACTGCGTCCATGACCCCTCGCCTCGGACCTCGTTGCTATTGTAAATCCACTCGAGCGCCGGGCCTCGCAACAGTGTTGCTGCGAGCCGAATCCGCATTGCATCGTATGTCGGGGTCGTACAGCCAATGACCTCGAAGTAAATTTCAAGGGTCGCAATCAATCGACGGACATCGGTGTCTCTCGCATTCAGATTGAACGTCTCCGGTAGCCTCGGACGTGCTGCCTCAAGATTCACTGTAGCCGCTGCCGCTGCTGCTCGGTAATGTCGGTGGCGCCGCTGCTGCTGCTGCTGCCGTCGCTGCTGCATTCGCTGCTGCTGTGGCGGCTGCCGACTGGTTCTCGAGGAGCTCCTCTATTCGTTGGAGTGCCGCTCGCGTCTGGTCCAGGCCGGTGTGTAACTCCGTAATTTTTCGTACGGAATTATCACCATTTTCCTCCATTTGGTGATTTACAGGAAGATGTGCGACGAAAATGATTGATTTCTAGGCGCTGGTCCACTCACTGCGAGTCGAATCGACTGTAGAGATGACGAGTGCTGATTCTGTACATCGCAGAATTTTCCCTTAGTCGAAATTCGCGTCCAATCTCGGCAGTTGAGAAGAAATTCGATCCGACGCTCCAAATTCCAACCTTTTGGGCAAAATTCTCAGTGCCGTTGAGATTCGAGTCGATCTGACGGTCGAAATTCCAACTTTTTCGCCACTGAACCTGAGGAGTGTTCGAAAACCGGTTCGAGGAAGCATTAAAAAATAGCGTGGAAGTGGTTCATGTACCAGAAATCGGCGCTTTCCGTCGTCACCCCCGCGGTTTTAAAAGCGGGGTTTTAGCGGTCGAAAAACTTCGCGTGAAAACAGGCTCTGATTACAAAGTGTAGGATCTAAGATCGAACTCAGGAAAGAGGGTTTGAATTGAATGATCCACCTAAGTACAACACGAGGCTGTATATAGGCTCGATACAAAGCTAGTTACCCAGGTGTTACGCGAATGTTCTGAGGGTCGCGAAGCGTCCCGAACAGAACCTTCTCGAACTTGGTAGAAGCAATTCGGTGGAAACCGAATAGGCTTGAGCTCGGTACACGTAACCTGGTTCGGTGCTATAACTATAATAAAATATAGGAATGCACCTAAGCTAGGAAATCAAGCATATCTATGCATGATAAATGAAACCCAAGCTAGATATAGCACAATAAAGTCCAGGCAAGCTAGCAAAGCCAGCATAAGCCGTCGTACTCTCACACGCTTCATCCGGCACGTGGAGTTCTGCAGCGCATCGTTTTTCCCCGTCTATGGTTGCTACGAGCTAACTCAAGGTCCCGGACAGACAGCCACAGTTGTGAGTCAAAATCACGTGATGACAACATGTCAAAATCAGGCATTTTTTTCCGATAGCATTGGTCCTGGCTCACACGTCAAACCAAGAAGGGACACACTCACAAGGCGTTCAGGTTCGTGAGCTTGCCAATGGAGTCAGGAATGGGGCCTGTCAAGTAGTTGTAGCCAAGGTTCCTGACATTGGAAGGATGATGATGTGTTGGGAGCATGACGGAAGGCACATGCAAATGTGATGACGAAGAAGGTATCGGTTGCATTAGGTTACGCAATATGGCAAGGAGCAGTAACAGTAATTCCTACATCAGCATTGCTTAGGAGCGAGCAGTATTTCCTACGTCAGCGTTGCTTAGGAGCAAGCAGTATTTTGAAGTCAGCGTTGCTTAGGAGCAAGCAGTACTTCCTATATCAGCATTGCTGAGATTTGATTCCCGCATCTTTAGCTAGTTCCACGAAATCGCATGGAAAAAAAAACTTACCACATAAACATCTTGCCACTTTTCCTTGTTACCTGTCATACTGAGATGATTTTTTATGCGCATCAAAAATCACCATCAAACTTCAGCACAGCATCCCTTACCAATTTAGCAGCATCTTGCCACTTTTCCTTGCTTTCTGTCTCTGACAGAACCACCACTGGCAATCTCACAC